CTAACTGGTCTCAGCTGTCAGATTAGGAGACTGGGTTGGCAATGAGGCAGCAAGAATTCCAGGGATTCAGACAGCTGACTGCTGAGTGCTGAGTAGATAGACACATACACAAGGGTTTGTTTTGTTTTCTGGGAGCCTAATTGTTCTCAAAGTTATGATGATCTTTTTCAGAAAGTGATAAAGATTGGCTGACAGCGCTGCTCGGGTTCTGGCTGTGGTGTGGGTTGCACCTTGCAGCAATCCCCTCCCCCATCATTCAGCAAGTGCAGGCCACTGGGTCCTTGAGTTAATAAACAAAATGATTGAAGGAGATGAACAAGTTGACCTGCCTAATTATACTGTAAATACCCAGCAACAAGCCAAGAAGGACCTTTTAATTTAAGAAAGAAAAAACCCACAAAACAAAAAAATAACAGAAAAAGATATTCTGTTTACATCCAAATTCATATTCTGCCCAGAGCAGTTTTTGAAATCTTTATCATGCTTAAAAGGCTGGAATGAAAATAATCTTATCCCTTCCCCTCTTAAATGTCACCATTGTGCCAGGGCTGGAAAGCCAAGCTGACCACAGATCAAAGCAAAACTGGCTATATTTGTCTCATTCCAACAATGTGAGCAGAAGAGTCTAAACAGAAGCCAGGGTGAAAAGTTGATGGGATTCTAGATGGCTCTGGAACTTTCACATTCACTTTTGCTCAAGCATGGTACCAAGAATTCCCTTAAGAACTTTGTTTGTTTCTCTGTGCAGGCTCTCTCAGCAATAACAATAGAAAGAGTCAATATGAAACCCTTGTGAATAGATACACTTTGTCACCTCTTAAGAGGCACCCTGTTCAAGGACAGCTAGAAGTCTTCTGTAGTATATATGAGAAGGGTTTGTGGGTTTTTTTTGTTTTTTGTTTTTTGGGTATTTTTGTATTTCTGCATCAGGAATGACTTGATATAGCTCATGTATGTATAAAGAGTAGAACATGGCCAGACACAGATGGTGCACTTTCCATGTGTGCTTTGGTTTTTTGCTTTGCATGGAGGAGTGTTGTCTGTAGGACTCAACTTTTAACTTATCAAGAAAGCTTTCCTATGGAATGGTGGGACATTAATCCAGAAGAGAACGACTGTCCTTACTGATGTGTGTCCTGCAGAACTGTCTGCCCCAGCCTTTTATCCACCCACTCTGCAAACACTACTTGGCCTGCTTTATATGCCTCTTTGAAGTGGCTGGAACGAGTAAATGGCCCACAGGTTAAGCCTGCACCTCTGCTGCCTAAATGTTTGTTTGATACATGGAGCAGTGTCACACTTGTGTCCATCATTCCCTTCGCTTGCTGCTGTTAGGTATACCAGGGATTGGGGAGTTGGAGCCACAGGGACCCTGAGCTCTCAGAGTTACTTGTATAGGAACAATATGTAACTAGAATTGGACTGCTGGATTTTTTTCTTCTTTAAAGGAGGTTTTGTAAATCAACTAGGGGAATGGGGGGCACATTACTCTTTCAAAATTTCTAAAAGCCTCAGACATTTGATTCATCAGGTTAGAAAATATTGTAGTAGGAAGCCGAAAGCCTCTGGCTCCCGGCCACAAGAAACAGGATATTAAATATTTTACATGATGATGAAATTCAGTATTTTTCCCTTCTTCCATGTTCATGAATGAATGGTTTTTCTTCAATGTTAATTGTTCCTCTGGGATCCCCCCCTCCCAGTGCACCAAGTATCCTACAGGAAGAAGCAGAAAGTGAAATAATGTCAAGGATCTCCCAAGAAAGGCTCTGAAAATATATTTTAACAGCCAGTTTGGCATGGGCCAAATGGGCAGAAAACAAACTCAGCAAAATCCCCAACTCTTCATTGCTAAAACACATCCACGAAGACATCATACCTGAGTATTGTCTAATTTTTTTCAAACTCAGAAACAAATTCATTTCTACTCTAAAAATTGCATCTGGTCCAATCGCTTGCCCTCTACCATCAGGCTTGTGGGGAGGCAAACTGATAAGGGCTTTGAAAGCATTTCTTGTTTCTATTTCAAAATATTGTCCTGTGTTTCTTAATGTGGGGGAGAAAGTGGCATGGTTCACTTTACATTTTAAGTTAATGTGATTTCTCTTTTCAGTGTGTTTCCCTGTCATTCTTCATATTGTTGAGTCTTCTGAATCTGTCTTATGACTCATTTCTTCAACTAGCACCTGGCCTCTCTATCTTAGATGCTTTTTACCCCCTGTAAGTAACTGTAGATGGCACTGAGATTTTGCACAGTAGTCAACATGAGTAGTTCTTCAAAGATATGTTTGTATCTAACATGAGATTGGAAAAATGCTACATTTTATTTTTGGTGTAGCCACAAGCTAGAAAAAAATCAGATTCATTCACCCACTCACTCATTCACTCATTTGTTCATTCATTCGTTCATTCAACAAACCTTTATAGATGCTCACTTTGTGCTCATCCCTTTGCTAAATGACAAATATATGACTCAGACTTCTTTTTCATGACTTTGCTTCCCTAGCCCTTTGCAGAGGTGTATGGGTGTTGCAGAGACACAACCCTTGTGAATCACATTTTAATTAAAGCCTGTGCTCAGCTTCCCAATATCTAAGCAGATAAAGTACACACTCACTATGCACAGTGTCTGTGTTGGTTGAGATGCTGTCAACCATGGAAACTTTAATATTTAGTCTGTTGGGATCAACATTTCACGTGTTCAGAGTACCTATGGGAGGTACTTTTTAAAAAAGCTACAGGCTATAAAAGATTATAGCTAAAGATACACAGCTGCTGTGAATACTATTTAATTTTTTACTGCCACTTTTAAATAAGAATTTTTATGACATCATTCCATATTTTAATTGCATGTTGTTATTGCATGCCTGAAAATATTTACACTAATTACGTAATGAACTATAATTGCACTAATACATGATAATGGGCTAAAATCAGTGCAAATAAACACGAAAATCCACACAACCCAAAGAGCAGAATATTGAAAACCATTAGTGTTTTTAGACCAGCTTCTTTGAGTCTTTGACCCCAGAACAAGGCTGCACATGAAGGAAACCATGTTTTGATCTGCAGGTATTTATAAAACTGTCTGAGCTGTACGGTGAGGGAATCCCCCAGCATTCTAGCACATCAGAACATTAAGAGCTTTTCCTTTCTTGTTCATCATTTTCTGATAATTCTTCCCTTCCCTGCCTGTTTCTTTCTTTTGTTTATACCATCAGCTTAATTGTCCATGCAGCATAATAAAAGAAACTGCCAGTAAAAAGAAAAATTCTATTTTCTCTTTCTGGGCTCAGTGACTACTAGATCTTCTATATAATTGAAAGTCTAGAGGCAGAAGAATCAGAAATCCTTTGTGTATTTCCACATGAGATCCAGGAATTCGAGTGGCCTGGTCAGGATGAATTCACTCACTGTGATTTTTCTCCCATTTGGAGTCGTGATAGCAAATCCATCTTACCAGGAATGATGTTCTAATATTAGGAAAACAATAAGGGGTTGGGTATAAAAATCACTCAGCCCTTATCTTTTGATTTTTTATACCCCATTTATCCATTCATGTTATATTTTTGCTTTGAATATGTATATGAATATATATCCATAGCATATATATGTACATATGTATATATATATATATATATATATATATATATATATTATATATATATGTGTGTGTGTGTGTGTGTATAATTTATCTGTATTTCTGTCTATCCTCTTCTGCCAAGTACCAAGTAGTAGCTATGATGGTAGTCCTAGATGTTAAAAGTATAACTCAGGGTCTAATGAATGACACAACAGATAAGTTACAAGGCAAGGATATGACAATTAGGTTCGAGATTGTGAGGTAATCAGAGAAATAATTCTTTGTACTGAGTTCTAAAGGATGCATCAAAGTTTCCTTGATAAAAATACCCTCCTACCTCCCCCAAACACTCAGGAAACTAGGTAGCTTTGATCCAACAAAGGTAGCCTCCTCAGAAAGCATCTCTATTTTGGAAGGCAGGGCAAGAGTCTAAAGTTAGCAAAATTGGAAAACCCATCCCAGTCAAGGAGAGGAGAGGAGCATGAACAAATACTTCTTGGTCCTTGGGGTAGAGTATCTCTTTGAACAGACCAGTGTGATGGAGTTAGGCTCCCAGTGTGTTCAGACACACCAGCACACATCATGACAAGTCATGATGAGAGTTCAGCTAGGCAAAGAGAAGAAATGGCCACAGGCCACACAAACATCAGACCAAATGCAAGTAGATGTGTAGTTGGGGGATCACCCATCTTGCATGAGTCTTTCTGCCGCACCAGCATCTCACTGGAACTGAGGAGGGCGAGATCTCAACATTCCATCAGAGATGTTTACCTCATTCTCTTATAATGAGAAGAACAGGGCTCATTTTCATAAGATGCTAAATAAATCATCAGGGGAACAAATATTACAAGATTCTGGAATAACTCTGGGAAGGAGGGCATTTTATCAGTAGGAGAATGTTGTATTGTATATATTTACAGGTTTGACATGGCATCTATGTTCTCTCTGCTTTGTTTAGAATACTGTGTTCAATTGTTTCACTGTTTTGACTTCATCCATTTCCCCTCTTTTACTGACCCTCATGAAATTTCAGAGTTTAAGCTGTTCAAGAAATTTATGGTTTCCAAAAACTTCTTTTCCAAATTATCTAAGTTTAGACACCAGTTTTTCCATTGCTTCAATGGATATCGGAGACTGCTATACTGATCAGAACAACCATTAGATGATACTACTACAATGTCTATGAATATAAAGTTTCCAGGGTACCAGTCCCCAATATATGTCCCTTTCCTACCACAGAGCAATATCAAGCCAGAGTTCCTGTGGTGGTTTCTCTACCTTTTTGCTTGGTCAGCACCTCTAATGTGTTATTTCTTATGAACGACCTAAGTAGGCATGAAGGACCTTTGTAAGACTAACTTGAAATTGCAGAGCTTAAGAAATGGTAGTTTTCCAGCCATTGTGACGGCATGTTCCCAGGTTGAGGTAGTAGGTTGTATAGTTTAGAGTTACATCAAGGGAGATAACTGTACAGCCTCCTAGCTTTCCTTGGGACTTGCACAAACCAACATGGCAAGAACGAACCATGATTTCTCCGGGTCTTTTTTTTCCTAGGAAAGCCTTTGAAAGGTAAGACTGAGTGAAGTTATTTTACTGGTATTTTAGAATTCAAGTTTGTTTCATCCTTGTATCCTTGCTGTATTTTCATGTTCAGTTTCTTTGGGTTGGATTTTATTTTCACAAATTGACTATCATTTGTCCAGCATCACAATAATTTTGCATATTGAGCTATATGGATAGCCAATAATGAACAACAGTCTTAGCCTATGAGTCTGTTTTAATGTGGCAATTGTTATGGCCTTGGATTGGCTGATTCATTCCAGTGTAGGATGGGCTGCTTGGGTAACCAAGTTCTTGGCCACATCACATTCTCCAAGTAGCTAGACCTAGCATGTCTTCAAGGAAAGCTGGAGAAGTAAAAGCAAGATAAATCCAGGAGTCTTGAGGATTTTGTAAGCTTCTGCTTGTTTTGTCTGCTAGTACTTTGTGGTCAAAGGAAGACACATAGCCAATCCCGAAGCCAGCGGTGTGGTTGGGGGCAGGGAGAAATACCTTTAGAGTCACAGAAAAAGATGTAAGTTAAGAAAGGAGATACAAATTTGGGCCATCTTTTTGCCACTATGTTACCTTTTTTTTGGATATCATTGAATTGAAAATGATAGTGTTCCCCCCATGAGAGGAACCCTCCAGGTTCCAGAGCAATGTTTTGAGTTCATGGTTTATGTTTTAAGCTAAGCTGGCCTCTGACTTCCTTATTATAACTTTATTGATGATATATGCCCCAACGTTCTACAGAACAATGTCTAGAGGCTGGAGTGATGCTCACTCCAATACTGATTATATCAAAATGCAGGGTCATTTCATGGTGATGGCCAGTGCCTGGAATGGTGGACATGCCACTTGTTTTAGACTAACTTCTCAGCTTGCATTGAGTACCACAACCAGTCCGAGAACTCACATAGCTAGTCAGAGGGTACTTAGTTAAGTAATTTAATTTCTGGCAGCTAGAATAAACATTCAATACAAAGACTTGGTTTTACAACATTAACTGCAAGTTTGACATGCAATACATTGATGACCTGTATGTGTTGAATAACAGTTTGTACATTTGACATGTGCAGTCACTTGACATACAAGGATCTACTTGGTTCTGCTTATGCATCTACAAAGCTTTATATGTCATCATCCCCTGTGTAAGACAATAAAGTTTCCTCCTTTCAGCAGCATAAACTTGGGTGGATTCTCATACCAGTGGTGCCCACAAGCATCTGAGTGCTGAGATGGTCCCCACTCTGAAGACAAAGCCATGCTGGTATGATTGCTCATTTACTGTTTTGTTAATAGGTTGCATCCACCTGAGTTCTAGTGATGGCCCTTAGTGTTCTATGGCATTGTGTCCAGGCACTTCCAGTGAAGTGGTTTTTACTCAGCAGCTTATGGTAGAGCAGAGGTTAGAACTGCAAGATAAATAAATACATTGGAAACTACATCTTAGTATCCATTTCATCAGGGTTTTCAAGTGTGTGTCCAAAGACTCCTTAGTTTCATTTTAGGTAAGCATTTGTTCTGTTCCTGGACAACTCTTCACTGCATTTTAGCTAAAGATCATTCGTAGCCCCCAAACTCTCAAACATACCAATATACAAATGTTCATAATATCTTCTGGGAATTAATCCTGGGGTTTGTGAAGGAATAAAGAAAGCTTTAGCAGGATAACTTCTAAATATCAAGTTAGACATGGTGGTCTTCCTTGTAATTTTGGCACTTGGAAAAGCAGAGTGAGACAGGAGGATTGCCATGAGTTTAAGGCCAGTCTATATTATATAGTGAATTCTAGTTCACCTTGAGTTGGAGAGTATTGGAGAGTAAGACTTAGTCTGAACAAAACAAAACAAAACAAAACAAAAGGCATGAAAGATACTTGGAGAGTAAGACTTAGTCTGAACAAAACAAAACAAAACAAAACAAAACAAAACAAAACAAAAGGTATGAAAGATAAAAATTATAAGACTTATATTGCCCCCATCAATACTCGAGGCAGGTGGGAGAGCTGGCCCTGAGGTCTTGAGAGCAGGAGAGCTGTTCCTGCCCCTCATTAGCTGCAGCACTCTGGGAAAGTTTCCCTTACACCTTACTTGGGCAGCACCATAGAGCCATCCCTGAAGGTGTAGGTATGGGAGAGCCAACCCTGAGGACTGGAAAACAGAAGAACTGGCCCCACCTCCTGCTCATCACTGCAGTGGGTGAACTAGCCAGAGCAATGCTGGAGAGCTTACCCTGGTGGTGAAGACAGGAGAGCTGGCGGGCTGACCAACCCTGCAAGTACCCAGACCCAGAACTAGGGTTATGTGTTGGCTCATCCCAACATCCACCCCATCTGTGATCTGCTGGAGCACTGAGTGGAGAGGGAGTGAGGTCAGTCCTGGGGACCCAGAGCTGAAGGATCTCCACAACACAGAGCAGTGACAGGATGCCCAGGAAGAGTACCAGTGAGGGTCCAGTGTCAATGGTGTAGCAGAGACCAGGGGCCTCAAACCAGACCAATGATACTTTGAAAGACACAAAGAATAAATCAAAAGAAAGTTAAAAAAGAAAGACCTATATTGGTAATAGAAATTCCAATTTATTTTATAATCCATTTATTCAATCCAGCCATATTCTAATATATACTGACAATCTTCAAAACATCTCCTTGTGGCTGGCGTCTTGATCTTCGCTGTGTATGGTATGTTTACCAAAGCAGTTTAAGGAAACCGGATATTTTTAGGAGAAGTTTGAAAGTTTCCTTGATGACAACTCATTCACAAATTTGAAGTTTTAGTTATCTGATTACCCTTTCTCTCGGTTCATTGCTATAGATTTTAATGCCTCAGTCCCATCTTTGTACTGAGCATGCACTTCAAAGACACGGCACTGTCTTCTCAAAGTTGGTCTTGACCCATCCCTCACTTGGCTCTCTGGAGCCTCAAGGAGAAGTAAGAAACTCAGTTCAATCACTATGAGTCCTCAGTATCTAGTCAACTCTTAAGTGAGTTTGATCGTATCAGCACACGGTACATACCCCTGAGCAGCAATGATATTGCATAAGAAATACTTAGTTTTTCGGATATTTTATTCTCCCATATTCGTCTCCCTTTCACACTTCCTTAACATTCCCCTTCCTCTTCCCAAATATTTCCCCTTCCAATTTTATCTTTTTTCCCTTTTCTTCTAGATTCCACATGTGCAAGAAAGCACATGAAGCTTGTGTTCCCAAGTCTATTATTTCACTTAGCATGATAGTCTCTCATTCCATTCATTTTCGGCAAATTATCTGATCCCCTCCCCCACTCTTTCTTTCCTTTGTGCTTTGAGACACAGTCCAGTGCACCCAAGGCTGGCCTTCAGCTTTCTATGTGGCTGAAGATGACCTAGAACTTTTGATCCCTTGGCTTTCGCATCCCAGGTGTGGGATTACAGGAATGTACTTCTATGCCTTCTTTGGGGATTAAACCAAGGGATTCCTGGGTGCCAGGCAAGTGCTTTACTGACTACACTAGATCCCCAGCCCCATGTTTTCATTCTCTTTGGTTGAATAACATCTTGTTTCCCCTTTACATCTTGTTGTGTACAGGTGGTGAATTTTCTGTATCCATTTATCTGTTGATGCTATTCTAGGCTGTCTCATTCCTTGACAATCATAGACTGGCTACAATAAATATGAGTATACAATTATCTTTGTGCTATGCTGACTTAGATTCTATGGTTATGCACCCAGAAGTGATATAGTGGGGTCATATGGAATTTTATTTTTATACTTCTTAACCTCAAATTTCTGGGTGCACAAATGGGGGAAAAGATACCTGGGAATGGCTTGTTGTCTTTAAATAGATATGTTCAACTGCTCCTTTAGTGTCCATATAAGTCTTCTTCTAAAAAATGTGGAGAGTTCAGCCTAGACACACTGGGGAGGGCCTAGGCCCTATTCCAAAGGCTAGGACAGACTCTGAGTATCCCCATGGAAGGCCTCACCCTCACTGGGGCACAGAAAAGGTATGGGATAGGAAAAGGTATAGGATAGGAAAAGGTATGGGATAGGGTGTTAATAGGGGGCAGGGGAGGAGGGGAGGGACAGGTAACTGGAATTGACATGTGAAACAATCTTGTTTCTAATTTAAATGAAAAAAATGAAAAAAAAAAGAACAGCCCTGTAAAAAACAACGTGGAGAGTTAAGAGTACACACCACTCTTGTAGAGCACTCAAGTTCAGTTCCTGGCACCCACACTGAGTAGATTACAAGCTCTAATTCCAGGTCAGAATATCACGCTTTTCAGGCCTCCTTAGATAAGCCTGAAGAGATGGCTCAGCAGTTAAGAGCACTGACTGCTCTTCCAGAGGACCTGGGGAGTTCCCAGTACCCATATGACAGTTCACAACTGTCTGTAATTCCAAGATCTGACACCCTAATACAGACATACATGCAGGCATAACACCAATGCAGATAAAATAAAAATAAACTATTTAATAAAAAGATAAGGTCTTTTCCCTAAGCTATACCTTTGTTCCCTTCATTAATAGACAACTCTGTGGTATGGCACTGAAGCTGTATTTTAGAAACAGAGACATCATAACATTAAGTATACTCCTGAAAATCATACTACACTATCACTCATTCAACAGAATACCCTTCCACAGCCCGTGTAAAGGGAATCTATCTGGGAGTATGGCTGCTGTCACTCATGTTGCCATAGTCAAGTCATTTGAATTCCTGAGATTCATCATCCAAATGCAAACAGCTGTGAATAGAGCTAGATAATTTCTGAGATGCCTGCAGTGTTGAGAAATGTGCAATTCTGAGATGCTCACTGAGGAATCATTGCTTGTACACAGTAGACCCTTACTTCTGAGTCTCTGCCATACACCCGTCCTATAACATGGGAAGATAGTTTCCCAATTCAATTCCTATTCTGTCAAAGAGACGTGGGCAAGATGGTAGGGAGGAGTTTGCA